ATGAAAAAACACCAAGAGAATTACTTATCTGTTGCAAAGGAAGGTCTCTCTTATGTTAAAACAATAGTTATATTCCAAAGTGGGTTAGAAATGGAGTTTGGCCAGCTCTAGTATCCATATTTAGGCTGCACCACATCTGTGAACAAAGATGGATCCCCACCTCACAGCTGCTCGCCTGCAAGCTGTTTACAGAAGCTTCCATTTCTGTGATTAGTTTACGAGGAATGGCCGTCCTGGAAACCGAATGGGTTGATTTCTTGCTTCCTCCTTGATCCGGAGCAAGTTGGGCAGCCAGTGCTTGCTGCCAGCCACGGATCCAGCTGTGCTGGCATCTCCCTTCTCATGGAGAGATGACTAAGCTGCCATTGTCCCCACTGGAAGCCAGTCAGATCTGGAGCGGGCAGTTGTGACAGCGAGAAGACCCTGCTGATATATGAAAAACTAGATGGCAATAGCAAGATAGCCAGATTATTTCTATCTGGGCATGCTCTGTTTTTCTTCCCTTGTCCTCTGCTTTCCCAGTTCTCTGGCACCCATTTCTTCACCTCAGTTTTCCCAGATTTTGCACTGCACTCAGCTGTGTTTTTAAAACATAGTTCAGGTATTGGTGAAACTGCCCCTTATTGCTCTTGCTGGGTTGAGTATAAGTCTTCTCGAGCTCAGCATTTGGACATTTTTTGGCCAGATGTTTTGTCCTTCCTGGCTGCCTTGACATTGTTAAAGGGGCAAGACCAGCAGGAATAGCTTCTGGCTTCTTAGAGTCAACTACTAGTTGTTTCTGAAGGAGGTTGTCTAGAGCCATACAACTGTGGCAACTATTTGCTGATGACAACTGCTTCTGATTGCCCCAGCTGTTTGGGGCAAGGCACTCCAGGGGCTGAGGTGGCTGTGGGAGCCCCAGGCGACCACTTCCACCTGTGTCCTTGTTTCTCTGGTCATGTTCTAGCCCAAGCGGTGCTCAGTCATGGCGCTCTGAGCGTCCTTCTTAAATGCACGGTCTTTATTACTTTGGGGAGGAGGCAGGGAAAGGCTTTTATTTATTTTTATTGGTTAGGAAATTTTGTCCATGAGGAAACTGCCAAGAAGCTGTTGTAGCAAACCTGCTTCTTCTGGTGGCTTGGCATTATTTATATTTTATTTTATTGATCAAATTTATATCATTTATATTTATGCTATTTCATGAAATCATGTCATTAGCATGTATCAATAAAAACTTTGGGAGTGCAAAAGAAGGAAGAAAATATTCCATAGGAGACAGAGGGGAACATCATTATTATGCAAACTTAAAAGGGGGGGGCATCTCTGTTTCACTTCAGTGTAACCTGCCTCTTCTGGAGTGCCATTTTTTGGCCTCTGGCTGTAAATTAATACAGCTGATGTTCTTGAATGTATCCCTGAGTTCAACATCACCAAGGCA